TGATGCTTAAATGCAAAATGCTTAAATATATGTCCTAGGATAACCTTTAGAAGGGACGTCTTGCTTGGAAGATCACTAGTCGTAGGGAGCTTGTGTGATAAATACTCTTTACAGTTTGGGCAGGAGACTCTTAAGAGATGCTTTCAGCTGACTTCCTCTTGTGCCAGAGTAATTAGACCCCACATTTTTATACCAGAGAGATCATAAGAACTTCCTAACAAGTATAAAAATAATTGTAGAAAAGAACAAACCAAAAGGTTCTGTAATGGAATATGGTGAAACAAGACTCATTTAGAAGTGCCTAGATACTGTGCAGATATGCAGTTACTAGTACAGTGAATATTTTACCTTATTTATGAGTGACGTGTCAAAAACCTTGAAATATCACTGAATAATAGCAAATGTATCTTTTATCTGATAAAACAGTAGCAAGATATCAGTATTTTATATTCCCTTTGTCTTCAGTATTCAAGCTTAATATCAGATATAATTGAGAATTTGCAACCTGAATAGCTATTCTAAAGACTTTAGATTTTAATGCAATCTCTGAAAATCTGTAAATACTTTTAGATTAAATATTTCTTCCAAGAAATAGCATCTCCAATTCCATTGAAAGAAGAATCACACAGTGATGATTTTAGGATAGCTATGTCACCTAAAGTAGTTTGAAAGTACTGCTGACATGCAATATATCTGGTCCAGCTGAAATACACAAAGGACTCATATTGAGTATATATTGAACAAACAGAAATTTACAATAGAAAATAAAAGGAAAAGAAAAAGGAAATAAAAGAAGTTGAAAAAAAAAATGGTATCTGTTTAACAAAACATAGTCCTAAAAGAGGATCCATAGAAAATGATATGAGGGGAAAAAAAAGTTCAAGATAAGACAGTTTAGGACTCAGACCCATATTCTGATATGAGTTTTATGCAAAATTCCCTATTTCTCAATATTGCAACTAGACCAAGAGCTACTATTTAAACTAAAGCCAGCAGTTTTACGTCATCATTAATATATATATAACATATATGTATATATAAACAAAATCTTTACCTTTCTTTTAACAAAACCACTAACCCAATCCCAAGCTTTTGTCACTTTTATTTACCTTATGAGAGAAGCATCATTAGTCTGTCCTCTAATCCAGAAAGGAAACTTTTGGCAGCTTAATTTCTGTTATCATACTTATTTCTGTAAGAGTAGTTGAGGAGTTACAAAATATGAGTTTACACTCATGTCAGATTATTGCAATTAGAATCTGGTCAGTGAGGATGAACCCTACTACATCCTCTTATGAAAGTCTTACTCAAACCAATATGAGCACTTTGATGAGATGAAGACCCAAATTAGGGTTTACATGATTTGGACCTTAGCATCAAGGAAACAAAAGCTGAGGTAAAATGTTTTTCTTTTTTTGAAGTATTCTCCTCTCATAAGTTTGCCGAAGCGTGAAAGTCACTTTTCAACACAGAAAACATGCCAAACCTTCATTTTTTAAATCATATCATTACTGTTTTGTAAAAATTAATTAGAATTAACTATGAAATGAATTAGTTTATATGATATGTCTATTATACCAATGACATTTAAGATTTAAAATTCAGAACTGAATTGACCTTGAGCAGCATATGTATTCAAAATGTATAATTAAAAAGAATATTAATAATTTAATTTTATAAAATGAACAGCTGTTCTAGTTGATTGGAAACAGCTAAAAGTGTAAAATGTATTTTGGAAATGCAAAATTAAAAGTTAATTTTATTATAGAGTGCAATTTGCCAACTAGAAATAAATCCTTGAAATGTAAGCAATATATTTTTGTAACACTCTACCCATACATCAGAAAGGTCACATGTATTTTTAAATGGCATATCACTATAAAAGTTTCATGATTTCAATTGAAAAGCTATCATATGATTTAGCTATTTAGAGATTAATCTGAAGCAGCTATGATGGATAGGTCCTCTTTTTGCAATGAGCTATTTAAAAGCTTGGAAGAGAAATATTATTTCATTTAAAAATATTCTAAATTGTTACTTTTGCTTACCTTGCATTCCTAATTTTCTAATTGCTTTTTTTCTTCATTTCCTTTGAGGGATTTTGGCTGAGTGTGTCAAAACATATGTGCTATTCTCACATATAAAAATTCTTATTAGCATTTCACATCATCACAGTTTTTCACTTAAATGCATATCTCTTTTTCTCATTTCAATTATATATATTTTTAACATTTCCATGCTTTAAAAGTCATATACGATGTTTCAGCAACAACACACTATTATTATTATTATTATTATTATTATTATTATTATTATTAACCAGAAATCCCGCACCTTTGACATGGTCCTGGCACTGCCTGGGCTACGCTCTTTTGCTTAAATCCTCAAGTGTGATCCTGCAAGTAATTAAGTCATTAAGTAATTAAGTAAATAAGTGGAAAAACTTTCAGCATTTCAGTGTAAGTTCTGTCACAAGGAATGAACGTGAACACAAAATAGTCTGGCTAGGCAACATAGAAGCTGGGTAAAGTCTCTTTGTCATCCAATTGCAGATAACTCTTTCTGTAGTAGCCTAGCTTAAAAATCATCATGTCGACCATCACCAAGATATTTTACACTAGTTTTATCTGCTATAACAGGGTCAAGTCATTTTAGAGGGAGTCATGATCAGTTCGGTTCTCCAGCTCCTACTCAGACTACACGTGTGCCAAAATAAGCCAACATAAATATTGCTTCACCTCTCATTAGTACTTCACCTTGATTTTGGCACTTACTTAGCAGCAAAAGGCCATTATCTGCGGCAATATCAAGTCCATTATTTTAACTTTTAAGTGGATACTGTCGTTTCTTCTCTACTGCTATCAACAAAAGCACTTTCTCTAACTGTTCAGTACAGTAGGTCTGACATTTATACAGAAATGGAAGACCTTTATGAAGAAATGGAAATTAGCGCAGAAATTTATTTTTTAAAGCAGCCTGGAATTCAAAGAAGCTTTCTAAATATTGTTGGCCAGTCGTTCCTCCTGTTACATACTTAATGTAACCTCCTTCCAAAGAAAGGAAGGAGGAGCACTGTACATCAGGAAATACATTAAAAACCAGAAACATTATGCTATTCCTCCTGACTTATTTAAATGTCAGTATTAAGTGAGAGGTGACCTGGTCTCAAGACTTCTTTGAACAAAGATTTCTGGATGGGGTCCATCTGTTATTTCCTCCATTGTTGTCAATCCTTCTGTGACGCTAAAGGTATTTTCTACTTACATTCCTCAACATCATGCTCCTAAGTTTTGGTAGAAAAACTCTAACCAATCACACCAAAGTTATCGCCCAGAAGACATCCTGTAGTACGGCAGGGTTTTGTAGAAGAGTCTTTAATAGCAGGTAACTGCATGGTTATTATTTTGATCAGCTAACCCCAAGGATATATGTGTCAGAAAATTATTCAGGATCATCAACATTAAAACATTGCTGAATAGCTGTACCGTGCCAACTGTACATCAACTGCTCATTGCTGCAGACACTGTGGTTCTGGCGGGATTGTTGCATCTTGTTATTCTCAGACAGAGTTCCTTCCAGGATTTGACACATATATAAATACATCAGTTTTACATATCCTATCATTGCAAACATTTATGCAGCTGCAACTTTTCTTGATTCAAAGTTTTATGGTCACGAGTATCTCTGTAATTACAGCAGTGCCAAAGCGTGTTTTACAGCCCCCTCCAGAGGAACCCATGTGAGGCTGCCTGGTTCCCAATTAGCCTGTGTGAAGTTTCAGACAGCATTTTTTATTTGACTGTCTCATTATATAACCAGTGAAGAAAGCTGACTTGGTAAAAAATATACAGAACCAGTAATATATTCTCTGTGTTAACAAGCAAAATTTAGCAAATGATTAATCATGCTCCTCATATGTTTGGTTTATATCATTTTGCTGCTAACAAAAAAAGTTAACAAATATTGGGAACTTGCAACAGCAAATCCAGCCATCATCTTCAAATAAGTTTTCCAAAAGTAACATGACTAAATTCATACTTGCATAACGTCCAAAAATAAAGGCTGTAACAGTCTACCGAATATTTTAAAATTACTTTGTGCCAAATACCTTCACATATGCAGAACATCTACCGTTTGGGCATTCTGTAACGGAAAGATAACAAGATCTTTTTCTTTTCTTTTTCTTTTTTTTTCTTTTTTTTTTTTCTTTTTAAAAATTATCTCTAAGATTCTGTCAGGTTGACAGGAAATCCGTCATACATAAAGTATGTTTCGGATGAACTATGCCAGACAACATCGAGCAGCAAAGGGCTGGCGGCCGCAGGAGCCTTGTACCGCAGAGGGCTCCTAACCTCGACTACCGCCGAATTCAGACGGACTCAAACTCAGTAGAGTTTGCAGAAAATGAGCAGCAAAGCGACTCCCAGTACTTGCCTCATGTGTTCCTCTTTTACGCTTAGGGCTTCAAGCGCAGAACAGAAAAATAAATAAGATCCCAGGTCAACACCGGTCCAAGAGAGCTAACGACTCTAAACGTGTTTTACCCAGCGCGGCTCCCTCGGCTTAGCAGGCGCCGGCTGCCTGAGAGGCAGCGGCGCCCAACGGCCGCGCCTCAGAGCCCAACGGCCGCTCCCCGGCGCCCGCGCGCGCGAGAAATGGCGGGAAGGCGCCGCGCGCCGCTCCCGCCTCGCAGACGCGGGCGCCGCTCGCTCGTCGGCCGGGGCGCTGGGCAGAGCCTCCGGGGAGGTGAAAGGATCAGAGGAGACCGACTCAGCGGGGCCCTCCCGAGGCGGCCCCAGGGTTAACGTATTTATTGTCGCGCTGCAGTTGCAAGTCGCTTTACAGAGACACCTCATGCTGGAGACCCCGCACGGCGCCGGGGCAAGAAGAAGGAAACACGCGTATTCGAACGGGACTATTAAATAAACTGTACACCAAAGTCCAGTCTTTCCCCCTGAAGGCGGCGGGCCGCGGCCCCCGCCGCCAGCGCGAAGGGGCGGGCGGCGCCTGTCCTGGTCCCGGTCTCGGCCGCGTCCAGGGCCGGGCCGAGCCGCGGCGGTCATGGGTCGCGCGCGTCCTCCCGCTTGACGCCGTCCGCCTTGAGCTTCTTGTTCTGGTGCGTCTTGACGTGCTTGGCCAGGTGGTCGCTGCGCATGAAGCGCTTGCCGCACTCGGGGCACACGAAGCGCTTCTCGCCCGTGTGAGTCCGCAGGTGCCGCTGCAGCTCGTCGGAGCGCGTGAAGCKCTTGCCGCAGAAGAGCCAGTTGCAGACGAAGGGCCGCTCGCCCGTGTGCCAGCGCAGGTGCGCCTTCAGGTGCGACGTCTTGCCGTACACCTTGCCGCAGCCGGGGACGTGGCAGACGTGCTGCTTCTTGCGGCCCGGCTCCGCCTCCGCGGCGCCGCCCGCCGCCGACTGGCAGTTGGGGCAGCGGCAGCGGCGGCACCTCCTGGCCGTGGCCGCCAGGGGAGACTTGCTCTGCAGCAGGGCGGCGATCTGCGTCTGGTACTGCGCCAGGTCCGAGCGGCCCAGCACCAGCCCGCGCTGCAGCGCGCCGGGGAAGCGGTGGCCGCAGCCGGCGGCGGCGCCCGCCTGCGGGATGCTCCACCAGGGCAGCTCGTCGGGCGGCGGGTTGGGCGAGAGCTGCCGGCAGGGCTGCGCCGGCGGCGGCAGCAGGTTGGAGTAGCCGGGCGGCAGCGCGGCCTGCGCCGCGTAGGGCACGTAGGCGGGCGGGCAGCTGGGCGGCAGCGCCGCCATGGAGGAGGGCAGCACCTTGACGGGCGAGAACTCGTACGGGTAGGACGGGTCGGCGGGCGGCGTGAGCGGCAGCTCGTGCGCCCCCCCGAAGGAGGGCGGCAGGTGGCTCTTGGGCGGCGTGAGCGCCAGGCCGGCGTGCGGCGGCGGCAGCGCCCCCGGCGAGTGCGCGGGCATCTCGCCGCCCCACGGGTGGAAGAGGCGCGAGGGCGATCCCAGCGCCGCGTCGTACGAGACCTGCAGGAAGTCGGCGGGCGCCGCGCCGGGCTGTCCGATGCGGCTGCAGGTGGCGGCCAGCAGCGCCAGCGGCGAGTGCGCGGCCACGTCCGGGGAGGCGCTGGGCGTGCGGTCCTGCGCGGGAGGCACAGCCCGTTACCCACGCGCGCCAACTTCCCGCCACGCGCCGAGAGCCGCACGTCGAGGCGGCGGCCGCCCCGTCCCCTGCCCTGTCCCCATCCCCGTGCGCTGCGCGGGGCGCCGCGCCGGGACCGGCCCTCCCGAGCCTCCCCGCCCGCCCGCGGGGCGCGGTGCCGCCCGCAGCCCGCACTGACCTGCAGGAAAGCCTGGAGCGAGTCGTTGCGGAGCACGGCCACGGCGGCCATGGCTAGCGCGGCTCGCGCATGGAGGCGCCCGGGGGCCGGCGAGGCGCTGCCCGCTCTCCCGCGCTCGCCTCCCGTGCGCGCGGCGCGGCCCGCGGCGCCCCCCGCGCGGCGCGATCTCCGCGGCCCGTCTGGCTGCACCAGGATCACCTCCAAGAATTTGATAAGGACTTTGCTGGGCCGCCAGCCAGTCAGAGGGAAGATTTATGGCTTTGAAGTTTGCCGCTACCCAATCATCAAAGAATAGCGGCTCTTTCAGAAGCGAAAGCAAATCCTTTGAATCCACAAAGCTCCTATGGTGTGTTTGTTGGTCTGGATAAAAGAACTGATTATTAGGGGGGATGGGAAGGGAGGAGATAAAGGCGGGACAATTAATGAAGTAATCACTATGTGGGAAATGTATATACACAAATAATTGGATTTTCTTGATCAAAGGACCCCTTACCGCCTGGAGACCCTCGCATTGGATGTGCAAGACACTGGATCCCCCCCTCCTTTTTTTTTTTTTTTTTTTTTTTTTTTACAATTAAGAATTTGTGGCAGGCCCCTAAAGTGACTCCGTGTCTTTGTTACCGCCCGCGAAATCTGCCTCCGGATTCCGCCGCTGTGCTCGATGCCTCAGGGCGCCGCTCGGAGCACGGCGAGTTCACCTGATCCCAGTTGCAAAAACTTCCCCGGCGTCTCGGCTGCCGCTTCCCGCGCCGGTAGCCGCGCGTGTCCCGCGCCGGCCGCGCTCGGGCTCCTGCCCGCCCGGGGCGCGGGAGCGGCGGGGAAAGGGCGGCGAGCGAGCGCCCAGGCTCGCACACCCTCGACAGACACGGAAAAGTTTCCTCTTGCCTAGCGGGAGCCGCCTGTAAACACGGAATTCGTTAAGCGGAGACAGGAGTCTCTCTGACGGAGATTTTTTTCGAGGCCGGCTGCGTTCGCGCAGGGGCTCCCGCCGCGGCCCCGCTGAGCCCGTTGGGTGGGGAGAGCTGCGGGGAACCCCCAAACTGCCACTCCGGTCCCGCCGCACCCTCAGCCCCGGCTGCCCAGCCTGCAACCCCTCGGACTGCCAGCGCGGGCACGGAGGAACCCATCCTGCCTCCCTTGCGCCCCGGGGGGACATTCCCGTTCGTGGGCGCAGCTGGGGCGCAGCCCCGCACACCCCCCGCCCGCCGCTCGCCCCTCTGCTCCGCGGCCCCCGCTGGGGAGGCCCCGTCGCGGGACGTCCCGGGGAGCCCCCGGGCCCGCGGAGCCGCCTGCCCAGGTAACTCGATGCTCGCAGCAGTCGCCGGGTTCAATTGTATTCGCACCGCCGGCGGAGCCCTTTTAAACGCCAGCACACAGAGATCCTTATCTGCCTTCCTGGGGAAACAATCGCTGTCCTCTCAAAGACTTCCAAGAGTTGCAGCGCTTGAATTAGATCGGTTCTTTGAAGGGATTAAAGTGCCAAGTCCTCTCCCACGGCTCCGCACGGGGTCCCGGGGCGAAGTCACCGCCCGGGCGCGGGTGGCACCGACCCCGCGCGCGGCTCGTCCCCGCGCCAGGGCCCCCCGCGGGGCCCGTGCCCTGTCCCGCCACTACCGCCCCACTCGGGGAATTCGTTTCACAAAATAAAGATCTGCCCCGGGAATGACCTGGGCGGCAGATGCTAACGCAGCGACAGCCGATAGCCGGTCGTGGCGCATCCCGCGCTTCTCCCCAGCCGTTAGTGCGCGTTATTGTCCCAGGCAGCTCGAGAACCAACGGGATTCGTCATGTTGCAACAGAGCTAGTGGAAAGTTGGGCGAGTGTCTGTACAGATGTGACAGGACAGATGCCATAAATCTGCATCGGAGAAAGCACATGACTTAAAATCGAGAATATTTTCTCCTTTCTGGAGACGGGCTGAATAATGAAAAGTTGCAGTCATAGTTTTCTGTACAAATAATTACTGCTCAAACTCGGAGCATTCAGTCTCCTGAAATTTATTCTTAATGAAGTGATGTTCAGTGCTGTCATTAAAAATGCAGGGCTGGAAGATCAAAGTAAAGTATTTACTTTAGAAATTTGTTTCAGTTATCAGGAGATACAGGTATCAAGGCCAAACGTCAATCCTGTTACACATGGCTCCTTTTCCAAGTGGAATGGGCTCCGCTACATCCTCGCATGAGGCCAGGAGACACCGGGGAAGAGGAACAAGCCCGAGACCAGTCCCCGCAGAGCCGGGCTCCATGTGGCTCGTGGGGACGGAGAGGTTGTTTCCTGCTTTCCTGCCCCCGCAGTCACTGTTCTGTTCGGGTTTTCAACTTTTTTTTTTTTTTTTTTTTTCCCTGGCCCAAAAGAGCTGGATCCCGCAGACCCGGGGCAGTGGCACCCGTGCACGGGTCGGTGCTGGCTGGGCCCTGCCGGTGCCGGGTGGCAGGGGACCCCGCTGCCTCTGCCCCTGCCTCTCAGCCAGGAGGCTGCAGCAGGTCAGGCCGTGCTGGGCTAGATGCCCGTGGGTGACTTAAAGGCAGCGGGTATAAAACATGACTCACCACCAGCACCTTCACAGGCAGATGTTTTCAAAATCAGGGCTTTCCAAGTTCCAGTGTCCTGGAGTGACTGTCTTACATGAATGAAGCTGGAAAGAAATAAATGTTCGTGCCTAACAGCAAGAAAGAAATGTTTGTGCCTAACAGCTGTTGAGGTGCCAGTGGTCCCTCCACAGGCCTAACACGCACGCCTGCCTGAGGGGCTGGTGCTGCCCCGGAGCACTTCCCTGCCCCAGCGCCGGCTGCAGCCCCATCGAGCCCCCGCTGCAGCCCCCGGCCCCGGCCTGCCCACGCGCAGCGCTGTTCTCTTGACACTACTGCTATTTACTCGGGCATATTCACCCTTTATGCCAGGCAACAGCACTGACACAAGTGTACTAGGAGGAGCCACCAGTTCACATTTCCTGCATGCTAGTTTATACAGCTTGTTTACTGGCTATCACACTACCAAGAGTTCTGATGTAATTACACCTCCAAAATTTTATCAGGAATCTTAGCAGGAAGTGAAAATGAAAAGAAAGATTTTTTTTCTACGAAGTCCTCTGTCTTTGTGCATGCAATGGAAAAACACAAAAATGCAGGCAAGGCACATGCAATGGCATAGTCAGGATTTAAAGGCTTGCCTCAACATTTCCCAGCCTAGGTTTGGATTTCAGGAACATTAACACAGGATTTCCAAAACTTCTGAAAGCTGAGCTGCCTTCCAAGAAAAGTAAAACAAATTTTATGCCTCACAGTTTTACTGCTTGTTGTTAAAAGCTTTAAATATCTTAATGCATTCATCTTTGCTCCATCCTCAGCTGGACCTCGGTGACTCCTCCTCCTCCCGCCTTCCGGAGTCCTGGTGAACGTTTCTGGATGTATTTCCTCCCCTTGCTCCCACACCTTAAAAGCAGTCGGAGTTGGGACTGCATCAATATTGAGAGTGTTATTACTGGCGCCCCTTGGATTACCTGGGACACCTTTCTGATCAAAAAGGTTGTTTCAAACGCTCAGGAAACTCCTTCCCGCCTCTAGCACACGCTGCTGCATTTTCCTTACAACTCTAATAGCTAGAAATGGACTCGTGCAGAATGGAAAGGGAGCCAAGATCTGGAGAGCAGCTGAAAATGATCTGCTGCATGCACCCTGCTCGTCCTCTCGCTCTGGGAAGCACTCGGTAAAAAAGCTTGCGTGTATTTGGTCAAATACATTCATTCGGGGAATGCTGAATGGGCTCATTTTTTTAATGAGTCGAAATACACATATACGCACTATTTTCCTACATCGTAATTATTCACTATGTAATAGAAAGGTAGTTAAACTGTTAATTGCATCTTTTTAACTACAGAGTGCAATATCTAAACACTGCTTCTTGTGGTAATTAATTTTAGTTATTTAGTACATTTACTGACAAATTAAACAGCTGTCTGTGTCCATACTGTGTTAAAGCTGCAAACAGAGTTTTAGAGCACAAAGTTTTAGACTGAAAGAATCTTGTTCTGCCTTGCACTTTCGTATTGTATAGTCATACAGCTGTCACATTGTGGTTAATTTAACCGAACTGATAAATTCAAATCTGCAAAATACACCTGGCACTTAATGAGCTTCTGTTGTAATTTTAGAGCATTTTGAAACAACAAAAATAGATTTTTCTAATAGCAATATTTGTCAACAGAACCACTGCTAAAATAAGCTGTTCTTCAAGGACTACAGAGTCCATAACAAATCCACCAACCTTCTTCCAAAGTTTAAGTGCTCTATACAAATCTTCAGCAACTTCACTACTGTAGCTGGGAAATTAAAAAGACCACAGGAAACTGCCCAGTAGTGGCACCGGGAGAGTCCAAGCAGAGATAGAGACATGCCTGTGCGACCGGCAGTTTGGGAAACGAGGAGCCGCTGCACATGGAGCAGGCACCTCTGCACAGCCTGTCCCTAGCCCCTCTCCATGCAGTGCTTTCGTGGTAGCTTATGGCAGCTTTGCATATGTATACACAAACTGCTATTATGTTAGATACATAACAGACACCTGAGACAACCAACTAGGTGTCCCCCACCACTGAAGAGCTTTTGAAAGGGACACAGAAGAGCCAAATTTTTAGAGCAGTCTCCGCACTGCCGGAACAGGGCGCTCCAAGGCGGCAGCAGCCCCTGGCCCCACGCAGCGACCGCCTCTGCCCGGCCAGACCTAGCCCTGCACGGGCGCTGGACACGGCCCTGGACAAGGCCCTGGACACGGCCCTGGACAAGGCCCTGGATACGGCCCCGGACACGGCCTCCAGGCAGGCAGCACAACCCGCCAGGCAACGGCAACTGTTCAGCCAGCCAGTAAGGAAAAAACCATAGTCCCCTTGCCACCACCACAGGACGGGGCTAGGGAGAAGCCTCGGTTTTAATTTTGAAATGACTTCTCTCCTGATCTCAACAAAACAATTTTAAAACTGCCCTGTCAGACTGGCTGAAAAGCCCTTTCAGAAACATCGGACATAGTGTTTCTTCTTTGTCACATCTTCCCCTGATGAC